GCTTGCATAGCGTGAAGCCATCCCCTTCCAAGGATAAGGTTGTACGTCGAAGGCACTTGTAGCACCCAAAACTCCACTTGCTTGACCACGGGTCCCGCTTTGACCGGCAGGATAATCTTTCCCAAGGGCCACTCCGGCTACAAGTTGAAACCAACCAGTGGCGAAGTTGTCGGAGCCAAGTTTGTCTCACGGAGTTTGAGCTGCTTGAACGCATCATAATACATGATCTCGACCGAGCTTTCCTGATCGATCAAGATCCGTTTAACATCAAATTCCTTGACGCTTAGTGTTACTACTAGGGCGTCGTTGTGCGGCGTCTGGATACGCTCTAGATCCTTTGAGGTGAAACTAATCACGTCTTTTTCTTCAGTCTTCCCCCTTTTGATAGAAGGCTGTACCGACAAAACTTCCCTCATAGGTTCTGCCTTTTTTATCATGCCCCGGAGTTCGCAAACACGCTCCGGTTCCACGATGTCGTGGATGACATTAATAACTCCTTGTGGTGGTGCGTCTCGGTCATCCTGTCCCCTGGGCTCGACCGGAGCTTGATTCGGTTTCACGCCGCCATCAATGTAAAGGTCCAGATGCCCGGCCGCAACCAGTTCTTCCAAGTGTTGTCGCAAAGGCAAACAATCCTCAGTCCTGTGGCCCCTCTCCCAGTGAAACGTACAACGATACCGCGGATTGTAGCCCTTTTGTCCATCGCCCAACTTAGCAGGAAACCGGACATACTTCTCGTCTCGGATTTCACTAAGTATGCGATAGATTGGAATCTTGAAGACCGTGGTTATGCCAGTCCTCGCCTTCATTCTTCTGTTTGCGTCCTCAACGTCATCTCGGGGGTAATCATCCCGGTCATTCCGACGTCCTCTACCCCGGTTTTTACGATTTGAACCTCGGTCTGCTTCCTCTGCTCGGTCATTTGGGCGGCTGGACTCTTGCCCAACTGCGTGCACTTTGCCTGCTGTCTTCTTGTCTGTTCCAACCGGAGTGGCCTTCACGGTGGAAGCTGACGCATCATCCTCTACTCGGATGTGCTCATTGATGCGCTGCATGAGCTGGCCCATGGAGGTCGGCCGGTGCATGGTAAGCGAGTCCCGTAGTCTATGTCCGACCGGGAGACCACGCTTATATTGTGTGATTGCAAGGTTGACCGGGCAATCCAGGATCTCGTTGAAGGTCTCCCAATACCTTGAATTGTATGCCTTCAGTGTGTCGCACGGTTCCATCTTGACACTCAGCAAGTGATCGACTTCCTTTGGTGTTTTTGTGTTGGTTTTGAAGCGCGTAACAAACACCTCGGCCAACTGATGCCACCTTTGTATGCTCCCTTCCGGCAACCTCTCAAACCACTTTAAGCCCAACTCACCTAAACTGGACGGGAAGATTAGGCACATAAGTCCGTCATTTCGCCTATGTCCGGCCATGACCTGACGGAAGTGGCTCACATTGGATGGATGCAATTGTAGCATTCATAAAGGAAGGAAAGTTGCTAGATGACCACAAAGAGGCACACAAGATCTGTTTGGCGGGGTGGAGGCATTCCGACCTCCTCGCTGGCGTGAACCCCGTAGGATAGCCGGTATTCTCTGAGCTTCGCGCCGGCGAGCCCGCTCCTTTAAGACCGCCCGCAAATCCTCGGAGTGAGTAGAATATGAGTACCTCGACGTCGTCACCGGACGTGAGGGCTGGTATGTGCTATCCTGTGCGCTAGACTTCTCTGCATGCACGTCGGAATCACCAACCTGGTAACTTCTGGTAATAGAGATGGATGGGGTGCGTCGCTGACTCTGACAGCCTGAACGGCGGGATGAGGTGCGCTCACTGTGGTCACCCACTCCAGCCACACCTTTCCCTTTGACATGCCGCTTCAGATCCTCCATCTCCGCCGCCATTCGCCGGATGACGGCGTCTTGGTCTCTCAACTTATTTTCCAGACATCTGGCGTGTGAGTCTCTCCTCCGCCGGTGACCGTTTGGACTCCGTGAATGACCATGACTCCTTCCGCGCTTATCCCATGCGTCTACTGACTGTCCTCCGATGGGCGTCCCCAAGTCGGCCATTGGATGGATGGCGGGAGGTCCCTCTCTCCTTCGGGTGTACTCCGGGGTGGCTCCGTCTACGGCAGACAACGGAAACTCTTCGTTGTTCGCCATGGACGGCGATCAGACGAGCCTGGAAGACAAGGTTTTGTCTGCCAAGTTTCCCACAGACGGCGCCAATTATACGGGGAGCAAATATTCCGGCAAGCCCGTACTCCTTTCTTCCGAGCTCCGTTTCCGTCCGATCACCTGCGAGCAAATAACGGTGAGCTACCCGGCGGTGTGTGGCCGGAAAAACCCTCCGACGATTAAGTTAGCACACACGTTAGGATGGAGAGAGAGAGAGGAGTGTTTGAGTGTAAGAATTCCTTACAAAGTGTTCATCTGTCCCCGTATGGGGGCGCAGACATGCTTATATACCCTCTACGCCCCATATCCACTCCCAGTCATCTCCTGACACGTGGCTCCGCTATCCCATCTGTCAGCATAAACCTTGCTGAATATCACCTAATCTCAACTGCCTGCCTTCTCAGCTGGAGCTCGGCAGCCGAGCTTTTCTATCCACGGCCGTGCTGTGCTTCATACCCAAGCACTTCACGGGCTAAGCCCAAGGAGGACCGGGCTAGGCGGCATCTCGGCAAAGCCTAGCCTGGGGCACCTCCTGCGGTCGGCCTTCCTGCCGATTAAATGATTACCTCGGCTGACCACGCCTTTCCGGGCACCGGTCATTAATCTTGATTGGCTCCACCATCGCCTGATCAAGCAGCTCGGTCCAACCGAGCACTGCCTTGCCAAGCAGCTTCTTTACGGTCTGGGGCGGCACATGCTTGGCCCAACTCCTGCCCGGCCCAACTCCTGGCAGCCCATCTCCAGGCGGATCGCCGGTCATCCCGGCCCCATGCACCATTAGGCTCTCAACTTGCTCGGCCGTTGCCTCGGCCCAATTCCAGATCATAAATCTCCCTCTCAGTAATCATACATTATAAATTAAATATATTTTTTCTTAATTTTTAAATTTATTTAGCCATTGGATGGATGGCGGGAGGTCCCTCTCTCCTTCGGGTGTACTCCGGGGTGGCTCCGTCTATGGCAGACAACGGAAACTCTTCGTTGTTCGCCATGGACGGCGATCAGACGAGCCTGAAAGACAAGGTTTTGTCTGCCAAGTTTCCCACAGACGACACCAATTATACGGGGAGCAAATATTCCGGCAAGCCCGTACTCCTTTCTTCCGAGCTCCGTTTCCGTCCGATCACCTGCGAGCAAATAACGGTGAGCTACCCGGCGGTGTGTGGCCGGAAAAACCCTCCGACGATTAAGTTAGCACACACCTTAGGATGGAGAGAGAGAGAGGAGTGTTTGAGTGTAAGAATTCCTTACAAAGTGTTCATCTGTCCCCGTATGGGGGGCGCAGACATGCTTATATACCCTCTGCGCCCCATATCCACTCCCAGTCATCTCCTGACACGTGGCTCCGCTATCCCATCTGTCAGCATAAACCTTGCTGAATATCACCTAATCTCAACTGCCTGCCTTCTCAGCTGGAGCTCGGCAGCCGAGTTTTTCTATCCACGGCCGTGCTGTGCTTCATACCCAAGCACTTCACGGGCTAAGCCCAAGGAGGACCGGGCTAGGCGGCATCTCGGCAAAGCCTAGCCTGGGGCACCTCCTGTGGTCGGCCTTCCTGCCGATTAAATGATTACCTCGGCTGACCAAGCCTTTCCGGGCGCCGGTCATTAAGCTTGACTGGCTCCACCATCGTCTGATCAAGCAGCACGGTCCAACCGAGCACTGCCTTGCCAAGCAGCTTCTTTACGGTCTGGGGCGGCACATGCTTGGCCCAACTCTTGCCCGGCCCAACTCCTGGCAGCCCATCTCCAGGCGGATCGCCAGTCATCCAGGCCCCATGCACCATTAGGCTCTCAACTTGCTCGGCCGTTGCCTCGGCCCAATTCCAGATCATAAATCTCCCTCTCAATAATCATACATTATAAATTAAATATATTTTTTCTTAATTTTTAAATTTATTTATATTATAAATAAAAATTACATCAAATATTATGGCACTTTAATTGCTCCACACAAAACAAATAAAAACAAGCGATTCACTTTATTTTTAGGGAGTTTTTATTATAATTCCAGCCTCTGTTTTCTGCACTTGTAAAGTTATCTCAATTATGAAAAATTGTGTGTTTCATAAAATAAAAGGGATTACAGTGAATAATATATATTATCTCATCTCATATTGAATTGACTCTTTTACATGCTTGGTAATTTTATCCTTACATTGTTTTTACTTAGAAAATATGAGGAAGAAGAATTCCGAAAATATGAGGAAGAAGAATTCCGAAAATATGAGGAAGAAGGAATATATTTCTATTATATTCAAAACTTCTTATTTTACAAGACCAAATGACACTCCTTATATAGGAGATATTACAAACATCATTATAACCCATTATATGCCACTTACATATTATATATTACCACTATCTACCACTATCATATTATATACATGCCACTATCTACCACCAACACCACTATCATATTCTATACATGCCACTATCTACCACCAACACCACTATCATATGCCACTATCTTATTATATGCATTAACACAAATTTCCAGCATTTTTATTTATTTATCAAACTCCATCCCACCCCCAAATTGAGTTATCCCACGACATATAAGCCACGTTTGGTCACTGGACAAGATAAGGAGGGGATAGAATTGAATTATCCATGAAATAGAGAGGATTTTACTATCAAATCCCATGTTTGGGATGGACTCTTCAAATTGTACAACCAAATGTGGAATAAATAGATTCCATGATGAATTGCATATCACAAATAGTATACAATAGAAGGATAATTCAGAAGAACTTTTGCCAAAATTCCAAAAAGACATCCCTGATTAACAAGTTTGGAGAATACAAGGTTTAATGCTCAAAAGACAAACCTTATAACATCAGGTCGCAACAGATGCCACTTCTACCTCAAAACTTCATTGAAATGGAACTGGAATGCCTTGCTTCTTGTTCACAATAGCCATAGCCAAATACCTAGTACCCATCCCAATGGGTACTTGTTCATCAGGACCCTCCCAGAACGGGGCTTCACCGTCACCCACCAAACGCCAATATCCTGTCCTCAGCGACTCTGCTTGTTCATCCGTGCAGTTTTCTAGCAGTGCTTCAACTCTGAAATTTATCCCCAGGGAGCCAAGAAATTGAGACTGAGTAATTGGCCCATGGACCGACACATCTTCTGCAAAATGTTCAATATCATGGAATCAATCTTCACATTCTCTGCAACTCCTCTTGTCACTAGTTCGTTCTCTTATTTTATTTATTTTTCAAAAGAACATAGAAATAAGACAGAAGACAAATAGCAAATTAAGGAAGTGCACCTGAAACTTCCTCAGCAGAATGCATTACAGAAGCAAAATCAACATATGCACTGAGATCAGCAGTCCCAGGATTATCCAATATGTCAACAAACTTGTGTTTTTGAATTGCCTGCAAAAGCACGGGTGCAAGAAAATTAAAAAAAGGAAAAGAGGATAGATGAAGAACAATGTTGCTGGGCACCTGGCAGCATTCATTGTGATATATGACATATGTTTTGTGGCAATATTCCACGGCTATAGTATGCCAACTAAAAAAGCTATGCATCAATTTTAAGGAATATTAAATGTTTTAACTATATGGAGAGAGAGAGAGAGAGAGAGAGAGAGAGAGAGAGTCCCCCACCCTACCCTTTGCATATGTTTTACCTAAAACGAAACATTTAAAAAGAGTTCTTCCATTTTAAAGGACAAAGTCAGACTGTAAAAATATTTCATAATCAAGTCAATGCATGCTTATTGAATGACAGACAAAAAAGAAAAGATCCATCCTTAGCATATAAGCATCCAATCTATTACAACATATAATGTAAATTTAATGAACCCAAAGGCACCAGACCTGAAGACTATCTGAGACTACTCCATTCAGGCCATAATCAATTATGAGAGCTCCACCTCCATCAGAACTTATTCTCTTTGCAATTGTTTGAGTCAATTCCATTGATTTGGGAGAAACCTCAATTCGATCAAGCTTAGCAATTTCTTCAGCTCCAGCCCACTTACAGCGCTTCATGAGAAACAGAGTTGCAGGCGTAGGTTGTGGAGATAGAACAAAACGAAACCTTACGAGCAAGTACAAGAAGAAAATTATCTAATTATTCAATTTTCTGTGAAGGACTTCTTGTAAGAGTCTAATTAAGATAACTTTGTGTCCATAAGGACATGTATAGAGTCTAACTATGACATATAAGGATTGAAAACTTTACGATGAGTCTTCTGCAACATCGATCATTTTCTCACACCAGCCACGAGAAGCTCTCTGTCAAGAAAATTATAAAATCAATAAAATGCATACAAAAATGTGTGAATCATAAATATTGCAAAACAAGAAATAGCTAGCTGATTTTCGAGAGCAAAAAACAGTTTTCAAAAGTGAAACCAAACCAGAAAGTCCAACAAAATTTGAAACATTCAAAGATCGGTAAGAAAAAAAATAGTGGCTTATATTCTCTAACAATAACCTCAAGAGGCGGGCTTTCTTTGCAGAGTTTGAAACTAAGTTTGCCCATATAAGATTCCAGAGGAACCATTGAACCAAGATCCTAAAAGGATGAAAAATCATAATCTGATAATTACCAAAATTTTGAGTTATGACAGTCACCTTTACTAGAAATATTTACGACATTCTTATATGAAACCATACTTTGATGTCAAATGGAGGGTGCCAACTGCACTCCATTAGCTTCACAATGGCAAGATATATGAAGAAAGCAATGGACACAAGTGTCGTGATCTGTTACACCCCTATGTCAGTTGAATTACCTGAAAATGTAGGTGTCAAACTCACTGTTAAATTGAACCATTGGTTGGGGAATCCCTTTTGTATAAATAAATAAAAATTTAAAAAAATTGTCCTTTCGTTGGGGGATCCTAATTCATTATAGGGTTGCAATGCAATAAGGGCATAGAAATAGAACCTATAATGTATAGAACACTTTTATTGAAATTTTCTCCGACTACACCGAGACAGGTCAAAATTACTAGCACAATATGAAATCTTACAGAATGTAGGACAAATGCCACGGTGGAACCCTATGCATGTCCATTTCTTGTTCAGACACTTACAGTGTGAACCTTGTAACATTGAAGATATGTGAATAAGGATCACAGGCCCTCCAAGTTTTAGCTCTTTTAATTTCTACAGACAAAAAAAAATAAAGAAATTTGCAGCATGTTTGTCACTTTTTATCATTCCTTGAACTTATATGGTTCTTCCAAAGGCAAACATCTTAAGTTCCAAGAAGACAGATTTACTTATTAAGGAAATGAGAGAGATAAGACAGGATTAATGCAATACTATGAAAACAGGATAGCTCACAGTAGCATTCAGCAAACATGTGGTTTATTTTAATATACCAAACAAAATCACAATGTTCATTGCAAATGACTGTACAACCAAAATTAATTAGACAAACCTGAAATTGATGAACTGGTAGAGCATCAAAGAATTCATGGGCAATGATGATTGTTGGCACTGAAAGAAAGAAAGAAAGAAATAAAGAATGAAGACAGAGCATATAAGAACTCATATGGTCAGAGAAAGACATAATCAATTTTTCTAACCCCTTCAAAAAATATATCGATACAAAAGAAGTTCACCTACACAATGTTGCCAGTGACTAAAAATTTACATTCATGCATCATTTTATACAACAGTCTGCATGTTAGTTGGATAAAATCTGCACTGTAAAACCTGGCTTATAAACCACCACAACATGGATATTGCTCGTGTAGTAACCAAAACTTGAATTTGGATAACTGTGTTGATATTTCTGGTCACTTAAATGTTGAGGTGTGTCATGAGTATAAAACGTGAAGATCTCACTAGTATTTGGGTCATCAAACTTGTACTAAAATTTAATATATTAAATATTTAGGAAGCACCCATATACTCATATAATTAACATTCATAAGTTGAAGACTCGGAATAAATAATATGATTGAAAGTGTGTTTGTGTTGGTGAAAGATGAAAAGGGAATCAAGATCAATTTGATTTAAACAACACTGCCATTCATTTGTGTGCAATATTAAAATGTACTGATTTTGAACTCAAGATAACAGCATACATCCTGTTGGAACCTGCTCCAGTGTAGCATGCCATGATACAGGGGTTCTAGCCAATGTGCTTATGCTTCTTTTCTCAGGATGATCCTCATCCACACACTTCAGGTTTTCATACTGAAGCTTCTGTAATGTTGGACTACATTCAACCATGTGGATATGCAATGATTCTATGAAGTTCTTACACTTTGATGAACCCTGCAGAGAAAAGATGCAGACATTCAATTGAAAATTCTTCCTTTATATTTATGAACACTAAAGACAGTGAAGAACTAAAGGCCATTGAGGCCTGGGTTTCCATTTCATTGAGATTCTAATTTAAAAATTTTGACATATAGATCATAGATGTGTGATGACGAGAATTAGGTTATCTTACTCGTAGAAGATCGGCCATGAGAGTTCCCCTTCCTGGACCCAGCTCAATTAGGTTCACTCTGTTTGGCTGTCCCATTTGCTCCCACAAACACATTGCCCAAACGCCAACCATCTAGAGCAACATCAACAGAACAGGTAAAAATTGTTCTTCCATGCCAGCAAATCTTGAATAAAACGAAAGTTTATTATAATTTAGAACCAAAATCTCTTTGTTGGAATCCATTTTTTTTTTTATATTATCTCAACAGTACTTTACAAGCTACAAGAAGACTCAAGCAATTAACAGCTTCATAGTTGGCAATCAAATTACCTCCCCAAACATCTGGCTTACTTCCGGAGAGGTTATAAAATCGCCTTCTGCTCCAAACACATCCCGATTAATGTAGAACCCGGCTTTAGGATTTGTCAGAACTTCCTCCATGTACTCAGCAACCGAGATTGGCCCACCACGGAACTGAGCATATACCACCACCAATCAAGACTTCAACTTCCCAGCTTATTCAAAATATAAAAACAAATAAATAAGTTGCAACAAGAAACTATTTAGACATTTGGGGACATCCCATGGAAATTGAACTGGCCATTTTCTTTTCTTAGAATTTCTATAAACAAAGACGTGCATATTAAAATCTAAAGCAAAACATTCGCTTTCATGGACACACATACACAGACATTTCCGCAAACACTGAATCGACATTACGACAGCAACAGCAAATCCAAAACCAGACGGGGACAAAGAGGAAACAAGATTAAATATATATATATATATATATATGAAATTGTAGACCTTGATGACGCCTTTGAGGTGCTTAACAAGCTCAGAATCCGAAGAAGGCTCGTGAGAATGCTCTGAATCAATTGAAGAAGCAAATTTTCAGTTGAAATTGTAACACAATTGCAGAGCATATGCATACATATAATGAGATGGAGAGGGATTACCGGGAGGATTGTACAAGCCGGAGCGATCGACGGATAGAGTGGAAGAGGGTTGAGAAGTGGCTTCGGTGGATTGGTTTGAGCCCTTCAAGTGTTCGACGAAAGTACTGTTTCCGATTTGGGACGGTGAAGAAGACGAAGAAGAGGAGCATTGTCGAAAAGCGAAAGAAGAGTGAGGCGTGAAGAGACATCGACGATGTTGAGTGGAAACTTGCACCAGCAATCTTCTCAACATTTCTGCAAACCCAGAGACAAGTCCTCGGCGACTGAGAGAAGAGAGGAGAAGGTTTGAACAAAATTGGGCAACAGTCAATTAAGCCAAATGTAATCTATAATTTTCTTTAACAAAACACTTGACAGTCAATGGGGATGTAGCTCAGATGGTAGAGCGCTCGCTTAGCATGCGAGAGGTACGGGGATCGATACCCCGCATCTCCATTTATTTTGGTTTAGAATGTTAGAGAGTCATGTGATCGCTTTTTTGGGTCTTCATATATATTATATACATTTTTATTTGGGTCTTCATATATATTTTTAAGACTTAACAAGGTTTCATTTGTTTTTTAAATTGTAAAGAAAAAAATGAATAATATATTTTGTAATAATTGGCAAGCCCAATTACATATTGTAATTTATCCAGACTTGTGTAACATCATTACTAACATCAGAGTTGATAACTCTAAAAAAAAGAGTACTAAATTAGTTCTAATAATGAGTTGGAAATGTAAAAAAAAAAAAAGAAAAAGACAAATACTTCTATCACATCATGAGAGGCCAACTCATTAGGTATCAAGATCCTCTAGAGTTTGGTTTTCTGAAGTGATCCCTGAAGTGAGTGATCCAACGGTTCCAAATGAAACTAACTAAAACGACGTCATTTTGGTTAGTAATTTTAAAAAAATATATATATATATATTTGCTTTAGTTCAACACAAGGGGCAAAGATGAATTTTTTTTTTGATATTTACCTCCCGCAAGATCTTAAGTTCTTCACAAGCATTCCACTTCATCTTCTTGATAGCATAAATCACTCTATCAATACAACCTTTATACACGGTCCCTTGAATCACCTACCTCTCATCAAACCCATAAGTTGCTTGTCTCAGTTCTTCAATCCCAAACACTTTATACTTATCCAAACAATCTAACATATCAGTCACAAATCTCACATCCAAAGCCTTTCATCCCCTAACCATTTTCTCTCCCTCTCCACCTCTCTCCACCATCCCTTTCCTCTTCTTCCATGTATTTTCTTTGTAACGAAACAACCCACAAACCAAAACCAGCAAAATCCCACAAACTCCCAACCCAAGTGAGATTTGCATAGGAAAAACTTGTGGTGGTGTTGATGGTATTGCAGGAACAAGTTAGGGGGATAAAGAGAGGTTGGGAGGGGAGGAGAGGGGTTGTGAGGTTGGAGATGTTGCTGGGGTTGGAGATCATAAGGCGGCATGAGGCGGTTGAGAGAGAAGGTTCTCTCTCTCTCTCTTCCCCGTCGTTTTGCTTCATATCAGATTTGCATGAAGGAATTTTGAATTAAAGCAATATTTTATTTTATTTTATTTTTTTAAATTACTAACCAAAACGACGTCGTTTTGGTTAGTTTCATTTGGAACCGTTGGATCACCCCACTTCAGGGATCACTTCAAGAAACCAAACTCTAGAGGATCCTGATACAGCTCATTAGAGCTTCATATTTAGTGTTCCCAAGCATTTTTGTTACTAACATATTCAACAATATTTGGAAACTAGATTTTTTACAAGTTTGTCGTAATATTATTAATTCAAAGTATTATTGACGATTATCATGATGCATCATATACTCTTCAAAACAAAGTCACTCAATTTTATATACTTTTATAGATATAATCAATTATGAATGGAGGTTTTCCTTCGTCCATTAATTAAATTAGAGAGTTTAGTTGAAGTCATTATTAATAAATATATATATATATATGGGTAAATTTCATTTTATCTCCATGTAATTTGAATCGGGTGCAGATTATGCCTTGATATTCGGAAATCACCACGTAACCCCCAGGTGATTACTGGATTGAAAAGTACACTAACTTCTGTTAATAGAAATTATAAATTGACAATCTTTATCTTCTTCTCTCTCTCTCTCAATTTCATCTTCTTTATAGTTTACTGCTCAAATTTTATATGTGTACATACATATATAATCTCATCTTCATATTTTTCTTAATCTTGTGTACATATACATATACATATAACTAGTTTACTGCTCAAATCTTGTGTACATATACATATACATATAACCAGCAGATGCAAAAATAAAATCATTTTTTTTAAACATAACACAGATATATATATATATATATATATATGGGGATAAAACATGAGCATACAAAGTTTTTTTTTCAATCTTCACTGTGCATTTATATGTGTGTGTGTGTGTGTGTGTTAAATATAATTTTGGAAATATTTGATGAACTAAATGATTTGGTAATGTTTGATGAATTACAAATTCAAAGTTATACTCTTTTATTCACTTTATTCTTCAAAAAGATGATCAAACGCATCTAAATTGGATAACACCAATGGACGCAAACGCGTCTAAATTGGACAACACCAATGGATGCCCTAACCTCGATCTACGATTCTGCACTATGTCTTCTTCAATAGGTGAAACTTACCCAAAACAACTTATGTTATCATCCAGCCTCCATGAGCTTCAATATATGTGTGTAAAATATAATTTTGGGGATATTTAATAAACCAGATGATTTGATGATGTGTTTGATGAATTGAAGATTCAAAATCGTGGTAATTGATTTCAGTTTTTTCACTATGTATACACACACACACACACACACATATATATATATAATATATATCTTTGATTAAGGAACATTATAAAAAAGAGAGAGAGAGAGAGAGAGAGAGAGAATATGTTGATTCCAGAAAAACATATATCTATATAATAAAGCAGGACGATTTTTTAATCTTCAACATATTTTTGTTCTAATAAGACATTTGGATAGCTAAAATCTGTTCAAATTGTAAACAATGACTGCGGTATATTTTTCAAAAAATGTCCTACATGTACATAAACTACTTTCTTGTTTCTCTCTCTTACTTTTTTCCTTTTTTCACCTATCTTTCCATGATCTCATGATCCTACCTTCCTCTCTTTTTTCTTTTTATTTTTTCCCATTTTTATTTTTCTCTCTATTTGTTTTTTTTTTTTATTTTCTCCATTTTGTTCACTTATTTTTGTTCATATCGTACCTTTAGGTATGAGCATACACTAGTATATATATAATGATATATATGTATATGAATGTATATGATTTCAGAAAATAAATATCTAATTATGTATATATATATATATATATAAATGTATATATGTTTGTATAACCAGCTGTTAATGGTTGAAAAATATATGTAACGCCTTCAAAATAGTACAACACACACCCGCCGGCTAGCTCACGTTTGTGTTTTCAGGTGACAAAGCGACGTCGTACGGAGGAGCGTGGACTTGGTCAACAGGATTATACGAGGAGAATTATTTCCTCCCCGTACAATATATATATATGGGGATAAAACATGAGCATACAAAGTTTTTTTTTCAATCTTCACTGTGCATTTATATGTGTGTGTGTGTGTGTGTTAAATATAATTTTGGAAATATTTGATGAACTAAATGATTTGGTAATGTTTGATGAATTAGAAATTCAAAGTTATACTCTTTTATTCACTTTATATATATATATATATATATATTCTTCAAAAAGATGATCAAACGCATCTAAATTGGATAACACCAATGGACGCAAACGCGTCTAAATTGGACAACACCAATGGATGCCCTAACCTCGATCTACGATTCTGCACTATGTCTTCTTCAATAGGTGAAACTTACCCAAAACAACTTATGTTATCATCCAGCCTCCATGAGCTTCAATATATGTGTGTAAAATATAATTTTGGGGATATTTAATAAACCAGATGATTTGATGATGTGTTTGATGAATTGAAGATTCAAAATCGTGGTAATTGATTTCAGTTTTTTCACTATGTATACACACACACACACACACACATATATATATATATAATATATATCTTTGATTAAGGAACATTATAAAAAAGAGAGAGAGAGAGAGAGAGAATATGTTGATTCCAGAAAAACATATATCTATATAACAAAGCAGGACGATTTTTTAATCTTCAACATATTTTTGTTCTAATAAGACATTTGGATAGCTAAGATTTGTTCAAATTGTAAACAATGACTGCGATATATTTTTCAAAAAATGTCCTACATGTACATAAACTACTTTCTTGTTTCTCTCTCTTACTTTTTTCCTTTTTTCACCTATCTTTCCATGATCTCATGATCCTACCTTCCTCTCTTTTTTCTTTTTATTTTTCTCTCTATTTGTTTTTTTTTTTTTTTTCTCCATTTTGTTCACTTATTTTTGTTCATATCGTACCTTTAGGTATGAGCATACACTAGTATATATATAATGATATATATGTATATGAATGTATATGATTTCAGAAAAATAAATATCTAATTATGTGTATATATATAAATGTATATATGTTTGTATAACCAGCTGTTAATGGTTGAAAAATATATGTAACGCCTTCAAAATAGTACAATAAATATAACCCAAAGCATACATAAATGATAGCATAAATTAGAGTAAATAGTCCTTTCATTTCATGAAGTCAATGATGCAAAAGAGTTTAACATAAATAAATGAATAATGCTAGAGATCCCAAATATTTTACCAAAAGTTTTACCAAATGTCTCACATAGGTGTGGGACCCACACAATGTGGGTCCCATGTGGGTCTCACACCCATGTGAGACATTTGGTAAAACTTTTGGTAGAATTTTTGGGACCTCTAGCACTTTTGTAAATAAATATCCTATAGACTTACACATTTCCAAACCTCGACTTGGTTACAACAAAAGAGACACTAGCTTTTACAAATTAGCCATTGGTTATACAAAATATATAATCAAAACAAGAAGCTTGTGCTTCCAAAAGTTCCTCCCAGCTATTGTCTTGGCGGAGGCATGCCCTCAATACCTGAAAATGTTATCTCTAAATAGGGTGAGCCATAGCCCAGTAGGAATCATCTAACACAGTATATGAAACTTAGTAAAGGTATAAGTACATTATACATATACAACATCAGTGATAGAGCATCCACATTTTATATAGTCCTAAGATGCCAAATTCAATCTTTAATCCATTTCCATTCAATTCATTTCATTACATAAGCAACTTTCATCGTTTCTTAATAACCCAAATGAGACTACAACTCATTAGTTCTGCAATCACGTCATCAACGTATAAACACTTCAAACTTTCCTTTCGCGG